CCTGCTCTGATTATGTCTACTAGTTGCCCTACATAAAATGTGTCTTCCCTTTTTGACATATTAGATTCTTAAGATTGAAACCATGCACTCCCGGTTGAAATCTAAGCAGGTAATGAACAGGATTAAGAACAAAAACACTTTATTTTTTAACTAATTTTAGACTTTTAAAGTTGTAGAAATACTACAGAGAGTTCTCCTGTACCCTTCCCCCACTTCCCGTACTGCAGTGACCAAAACCAGGACATTCGCATTGGCATAGTACTGTTAACTGACTTACAGACCTTATTCAGATAATTTCCCACTAATGTCTTTTTCCTGTCCCGACTCCCACATTGCATTTACTTGTCATTTCTGCTTAGTCTTTTCAGTCCCTCCGTCTTTCCTGATCGGTACTGTTATGTCTTATTGTTGGTGAGGTTAATGTTGGTGTCTGCAGGGTGTCTCCACTCTAAATTAATTGTCTTCCCTTTTCTAGCTATTGTGTTGGGGGAGATAATATAAGAGTATGTTAAGAACAGGGTTTTTTTTCCCTTTGCTCATGGGCACAGATTTAAATCATTTACTTAATCATAAAGTACCATTCAGCACTTGAATAAACAGGAATGGAAATAGTATATAGGATAGGATCTTTGAATCTTTTAATAGATTGTCATTTTACAGACTTTTTCTAAAAATGGTCTTTGAGTAAGAGTGTTATCTTTCACTGTCACTAGCATGCAGGTGGTACCTACATGCTGCAAAAGGCCTGCTTCATTCAGTGTTGATTAGAACTAGGACTGTGTTAACTTGCCTTCTCAGGGGGGAAGCTTGAACACTTGTGTGTCTGTAAGGCAGCACCATCCCATCCAAAGAAATGTGATTCTCCCAGTAGTGGGATAAAACCCTGATCTTTGAAAGATGCTCCCTCTGTGGCAGGCGCTTTCACAAACCCTGGAGCCAGGTTTGACTCTGGCGCAGTAGCTTTAGTGAGGAAAGAAATACCAGGCTTGCTTTGTAGTGGGAGGGTTGCTTTGGTCCTGAGTGGCTTTGTGAAGGAAGGTAGAACTTAGGTGGCCCTAGGAGTTACATCTCTTAGGTGATGATTAAAGGCCCTGATTTAAAGAAGATTCAGATTTAGGTTCATTTATATTTACATATTTATTGACTTAAAGTTTTCGGGTTTTCAAACAAGTTACTAGAAGCACTTTTTACCAAGTTGAATTTCTGTCCTTAGATAGCTAAACCCTTTTCCCTGTGCCAAACTAATAAAATGGAATTTCTTATTAAGAATGAATTATTAAGTAAAGTGGAAGCAGTGGGTTAGGGAAACAATTGATGCAGTTAGTTTTCAAAGCCTTAAAAGTGCTGCAGTGAACATAGATCACAAGGACAGGCTCAGGTGCCAACGCATGGGGCATTAATTTCTTTCATAGAGGATTCCAGGTTCACAGGATATCAGAAGTGCTGACTTGTCAGTGAAATCCCATTTGTAACATGTTAGGTTAGGAAGTAGATTGATTTATATATTGATATAATGGATCAAGGCATAGTCTGTGCTTAAGAAAATGGAGAGCACATTAAATAAGAGCATTTTCAAAGAAGGAAGTACAAACATTACAAAAAGTATTATCCTATTATACTCTAGGTAAGGTTGGGGTATGTTTGATTAGTTGATTCCTAGACATGGTCCACAGAGGCTTTTTATATTTCAGATGATACCTTCTTGAGAGTCTCTTATGACCACGAGGATTAATCTTTCTGAACTCCGAAGTGAATCACTACAGCTTATTAGCTGTCTGGATTGATTCCAGCTACTCTGCTTTTTCTTGGTGGTAACTGATGTGAGGATCTGTTGCTGCTCAGCTGCCTCTTCCTGTTGCTTTAACCTCTGGTATTTTAGATTCTCTTTAGGGAGGGTAGTGCTGACCATCTCAGCACAGAGATCAAATGCACTTACTGCTATGTGTTGACCTCAGTGGTTGACCCATAAACTGAACATTTATATAGTTGGAACTCTTGTGGTCTTTTAGCCAACAACCATAATGAGTAACATGTGGAACATGATCTTTGGTGCTGATAAATGGCTGCCTGCACTAAAATTGACCACTCTATGTCTGTGGCTTGAGTGAGCTGTCATAAGTAATGGACAGTGATTCTTACCCGTATTCATTTTTGGAATTTAAGGGGTAAATGGTTCCTCCCCCACCTTCACCTGTGCTTTTCAAAGATTAGATAACCACACCCAAATCCAGTTATTTGTTTAATAACTGCCTTTAATGTTAAAATGTACAAGGCCATAGAGAGAATTTAAGAAATATTGCTCAGAATATTTCAGATTTAACTGTGATAATTTATAGTAGGGAAGGAAACACGTTCCTTCTGACCTGTCAGTTTGGTATTCTCATCTACATATCATGTCTTCCTGGACTGAACACTAGTTTCCGTATGCAAAAGCATCCCTGGCTTTTTTTGCCTTTATCTCTGTAAATACCCATTTTTTTCTGTGTCATAATCCAAGTTTCTAGCCATAATTCTTAGATATGGATCACAAAAGAAGCATGGCCAAAGTAGAGGTCTTTTGTTACACATCTTGAACTCAATGTGAAAATTAAGCACGTTTGTCCTTTTGTGAGTCCTTTATACCTTTTAATGATTTGTTTGAGTTAAACACCATTATAGTATTACCTATAAATAACGTGTATTCCTTTCTACAAATATCTTTAGATGTTTTTCTTTCTTTGGAGGAGGCAGGAAATCACATCAGTCTGTAGCTTCATGTGCAGTCACACTGAAGGCATAGGGCCTCCTACTTTGAGAAAAGATTATTTGTCACAGCAGGGCTATCATCAATTCTAGTTAATCAAAGGTGCTAATTATTTGTTGGATTTAATTGAGATGTTTTTCATCCCTAATAGATCTTGGCAACATTTAAATTCCAAATCAGCTTTCTCCTGGCTATCCAACAAGTATTTGTGCTTCCTTCTCTTGTACTAGTAGAAAGCAGCCTAACTTTAACAATCTCCTAAGCAAAACGTGTGTAGGATGGTAAATTTATCCTGGAAAAAGATCCTAATGTATTTCAAAATCAAATTTAAGGACTGGCCCGTTAGCTCAGTTGGTGAGAGCATGGTGCTGATAACATCAAGGTCTAGGGTTCTATCCCTGTACCAGCCAGCGACCAAAATCAAATTTAAGTTCCCGATCAGAACAATCATTCATGTCTGTGTTGTTCGCAAATAAGTGAAAGCTACCTAGAATAGCATACATTTTCTATATATTTTAAAAGTCAAAACTACCCTTTCTTATTAACAGGAAAACAATTTTATGTTTATGATCTTTTTAAAAAGAACACAGACCATATGTAATATGTAATATATATAACACATAACAATATAATAGACTCTCTCCCACAAATTTTAACATTTTAAAGAGCCGTTTTTAATTTTGATTTTGAAGGAACTTTTGCATTAGAGGAGACTACAAAACTCCATTGTGGATAATGGCGTGTTTCTAGGTGCAGAGAGGCCTGTGCTTTTCTAGCGCATGATACTTTGCAGGAGCCTTACTGTCAAAATGCGTAAATGTTATTTCTCACCTATAATTTTTGAGCTGTTAACAGTTAAGATCTGTTCACAAAAAGGATACTGGCCAAAAAAACTTTATGGAATAGTTGATTATTTTTACTCAACACAAAAAAAAAATTGTTCATGAAATCCCTTTGAGTGTTCTGTTTCCATGAATGATTTCATCACACATTGAATAATACGAGTACAAGCCAAACTGACATCTTCCTCTTCCTCATCCCCCTTGTCTAATCTTCTACCAAGTCTTTGCCCATTTTACTCTTGCTGATCTCTTGAATCTGTCTCTTCACTGTACCACCTGAGCCCAAGCTACCATGGCTCGTCTCTTGGACTGTGCAACCCCAGCTTCCTGAGCTGTTTCCCTGCATACACTCTTGTTTCTTCCTTTTGGTCAGCTCTTCACCTTGCAACCAGAGAGATAATCAGCTGCATTTTGAAAATAGTAACATTATGCTTAAAACCTCTCAAACTTGCAGTGATAGACCGAAATCCTTTCTCGGTCTACAGACTTCCTGGTCTTGTCCCTGCATGCCTCTCCACCCTCTATCTACCTCACCATCAGCATTCCATGTGGGATGCTTTTTTTTTTTTTATTTCCTTTTTGTCTTTTTTCGTGACCGGTAACGGGATCGCAACCCTCAGTGTCGCTCCCGTACCGCAACCAGCAACGGGATCGCAACCCTCGGTGTCGTGCCCACACCGTGCTCAACCAGTGAGCGGACCCGTCTCTGTATGGGATCCAAACCCTCGGCGGGAGCACCGCTGCACTCCCAAGCGCTGCACTCTACCGAGTGCGCCACTGGGCCGGCCCCCATGTGGGATGCTTAAAGCTCTATTCAAGTGTCACTCTCTTCAGGAAGCTTCCCTAATCACCCCCCTACCCAAGCCTAGTTCAGATTCCTTTTTTATGTGCTTTCTCAGCACTGTGTTCTTTTCCTTCTTAGAACTTCTGGGAATATGGTCATACTTTTTTGTGTGCATTTTGATTCCTGCACTAGACTATGAGCCCCAAGAGAGTGGGGCCATGACTTTTTGCTCACCCTTGTGTCCTAAGCATTTAGCACATTGCTTTGCAAAATAGTAGTTGTTCAATAAAATGTTGTTGTATGAGTGAATTAAATAAAATTATTGGAACTTTAGCCATTCTCTTGTTAGATGATTTGGTATATGAAGGAATGTAAAGTAGATTTGCTTATATTAGAACAGATTGCAGTCAGGTTATATGTTCTCAAGTTATAAGTATCTCAGATAGGGAGTGGGGGTTAGATTTCCCATTGACCTCTCACTTTGAAACATATACCTCGAAAGGTTCTTTTTATTCTGGCTCAGTTCCTGGGGAAAAGGATTTGTTTGTGAAGATAAAAATAGTAAATAACGAAGATTTTTGCCCCATCTTCTTGGAGTAAACTTGGAATTTTTTCCGTCTGTGGTAGGCTCTTGCAGCCAACGCTGGAACAGGATTTGCTGTTGCTGAACCTCAGATTGCAATGTTTTGTGGGAAGTTAAATATGCATGTGAACATTCAGACTGGGAAATGGGAACCTGACCCAACAGGCACCAAGAGCTGCTTTGGAACAAAAGAAGAAGTTCTTCAGTACTGTCAGGAGGTGAGAGTGTTGCCAGAAAGTTAAAACCACTCTTTTTCTGGGTCAGAATTAAACCTGTTTATCTTAGAAATAGGCATTGTATCATTCTTCTCTTTTGACCTAAGATCAAGATGCTAATAACTGGAGCCCCATGACTTCTGTTTCTAACTGTATGGGATGATTGAGACACCCCTGAAAGGCTTTGCCTGTGTGTACTAAAGGCTCTCAGTTCTTTCAGGAAGGAACACTGCAGAAGCCTGGCAAGCACCATGGCAGCACAGCCTGGTTCTCTCGTCTTCCCACTTGTTAGGAAGATGGAGAGAAAAACATGTTCTGTGTATGCTTGTGTTTTCTACTTGCTGATAGAAAGCCATCAGTATTGTAAATGGTCACCTCAGCTCCAGTTCAACTTACCTTTTGGGTCAAAAAGAAAAGAACATGAGCTGTTTTACCTTCTTGCCAAGTCTAGCACATAGGGCCAGGGGGGAAGTGTTGTTCTATAATTTCATTAACAGATATTTTCATAGACTTTTCTCTTAAATGTTTTAGTTTATGAACTGAGCAATTACACATACTCTGTAAGTAAACTTGATTCCTTGGGCTGAAAGCTTGCTGCTTTTGTTTGTCCTTAAATACGGATTCATTTTTTAAAGAGAATGCATGGAAGTGTTCAGAAATCTAACCTGTCAAAAGAAAACCAATAGTCACAGTATCTTTTTACTACTTGATGACTTCAGTTGGAACCAGGGGTAGTGGAGTGCAACTTTAGATTTATATGGGATAAGGGTGGAGACTGAGTAGACTTAGATATTTATCCTTACTTGTAGGTGAATGTCCATCTGCAGGTCGATGTAGTGTGTGTGTGTTTTTCTTAACAGATGTATCCAGAGCTACAGATCACCAACGTTATGGAAGCGAACCAGCCAGTCAGTATTGACAACTGGTGCCGGAGGGACAAGAAGCAGTGCAAAAGTCACATTGTTATACCTTTCAAGTGTCTTGGTGAGTGTTCTTTGGTTACTTTTCAGGAAGTGCCCTCTCCCCGTTTTTAAATTTAATTTTCCCTTGGCTCATAGTGAAATATTTACATCTGTTAAGAAGCTGAGGGCTGTATGAATTTATTGGAGGCATTTGTCTTTGGGATATTTACTGCTTTCTGGTGGCGATGGTTGACCTCTTTTCAGTGGTTACTAACTCTGCCGCTCCCACGTGGACATCCTACTGTCTTTTGATGACGAGCCTTTTCCATGGCCCTGAGTTAAGGGCGCTATCCACAGAGCAATCCACCTTTTCCTTACATGAATAGTTTGAGATTAATGTTTTACAGGGGTGGTAGTGAGGGATGCTAAAGAAAACAGCCCAAGGAGAACAGTCCTCTGCTTCCCTTCCTTTATGCTACACACATTTGCACTGTTAGACCAAACTTTGGGTAGTTTTCAGAAGTAAAGTGACTCACAGCAGCCTGAGGACACTCAGGGTGCCAGGACCAGGCCCTGTGGGGCCCACCATTCTGAAAGGTTTGGGACTGGTAAGGGTGTGTATGGCTCTGTTGTTGGTGTTAACATGAGGAGCCAATTTGCGTAAAACTGTAATAGTTTCGTACCCAAAAACAGAGTTGGTGCTTAGATGTTTAGCGAATGTATTCAGCCTAACTATTCACTGCTTGACCCATCCAAATTATACTCACATATTTGTAGTCTGGGTGACTCAGGAATGATTTGGTCACAGAAGCTTAAAAGAGCAAAACAGTCTATTTTAGATGATCCATGATAGGATTAGCATAGACATAGTGTTAACACAGACATCTCCAGTAGTTCTGTAGGTTTATCTGATTCAAGCCATTAGTGTAACTTATTCCTCTCCCTCCCCTCATTAGAACTTTTCCTTAGGGCTGGCCGGTCAGCTCAGTTGGTAAGAGTGTGGTGCTGATACCACCAAGGTGCAGGGTTTGATCCCTGTACCCGCCAGCTGCCAAAAACAAACAAAAAAACCTTTCCTTAAACTACAGACAACATCAAAATGGAACGCATCGCTTTTCTCATTCTCATATGTGGCAAGGAGCAGTAGCCAAGCAACATGAAGAACCAGCCCTGAATAACAGTACCTGAAATAGGTAGTGGTTCATTTTGTTTTAAAATCATTTAGTAGGGGGGAGAGAGACATTGTGTATACTTAACATCATTTGTTTTAAAACTGAGCGTCTTACAGCAGTGTGAGACGTGTTAAAAATTTTGTGCAATGTAGTTTAGGGATGTTCTTCTATTCCATTTGGCTCTGAGAAATCTTGGTATGAGGTTTCATTCACACTTGGTAAAATTCTCAAACTGCAGATGAAAGGAGATCATTCTTGAATACTTGCAGACAGTAGATAAAAAGTACTTGAAATTGTTTCTTCCTTTTATGTCATTCCATTCCCCTAAAGGCTTGGCAGCCTGATCTCCTCCTCCTGTTTGTTCTTCTCATTTGCTAGCTCCACTACCTACCCAGACATCTGAATGGGACCTGGGAGACCTCTGTGACTCTTCCAGTGCCCCTTTTCTCTACCACATCCACTCAGTTTTCAAACTAGCCTAATTTTATATCTCAAATATGTTTTATATCCATATTCCCAAACTGTGTGCGCAAAAGTACCTTGGGGCATTGCACCAAACTCATAGGGCATTGTGAGATATTGTTGATTTTCAAGGGGAAACATTGTGACATCTGCCAGACATTCCACAAACTTCTAGTTAGAGGTAGTTCACAGTTTCAACATGAGATCATTTCATTCCTTTCGATGACCTCATACTTTTGTGAACCTGTGTTTTCATCGATTTCTACGATAAAAAGCAGGTATCCCATGAAAGTCACTGCAGAAGAAGAGGATGATGGTGTTCAGTCTGATTGCAGCGTTGGGGGGTGTGCAGTGCTCAGTAGGCACTAAAGTGTTGGGACATAAATGCTCAAGTTGTTGTTGGACCCAGCTACTTAACTTAAATAGGTGTTGTTTTGGCCTGGGAGTGCTGTGAAAAATTGCTAAGACACTCAGAGTGCTGTGAGGGTGTGCAGTGCTCAGTAGGCACTAAAGTGTTGGGACATAAATGCTCAAGTTGTTGTTGGACCCAGCTACTTAACTTATAGGTGTTGTTTTGGCCTGGGAGTGCTGTGAAAAATTGCTAAGACACTCAGAGTGCTGTGAGTTGAGAAAACTCAGGGATCTCTGACTACATGCTCCATTTCCACTGGATCCCACTGCTCCAGTTCAGCCTGTTGTCATCTCTTGTCTGGACAGGGACAGCAGCCTTCATGCGTGTTTCTCAGTTCTCTTGTCCTCAGTGATCTAAAATGAAGATCGAATTAAGTTTCTTGCATGTATAAAACCCTTTAGTAGGTCTTCTTTACTTAAAAAAAATTTTTTTTTAAGTCAAAGAAAGTAAAGAACTGTGGCTGAAAAACTCCATAATGTGGCCCTTGCTTAACTCTGCCCTGTTTTCTTATCACTCCCAGCTTCACACTCCATCAGCGTGACCACCTTGGAGTTCCTGGCCATGTACCACCCAGGTCTCAGTGTTTGGAGTGACTTTCCTCTGCTTACTTTGCTTGGGGAGTTCTTCCTTTAAGACATGTCTCAGGGGACACCTCCCTTAAGGGAAGCCTTCCGGCCTTCTTTTCTGTCCAGATATCCAGGTTTCTGTAATACTCCTTGCTGCTGGGACTTCACTTACATAACCAAGCAGTGATTGTCTGTTTATAGATCTTTCTCCAACTACACTGTAAACACCTTGAAAGCAGGGACCCTGTTGTAGTTTTCTTCATCCCCTCAGCACTGTGACAGTGCCTAGAACATAGGATATACTATTTATAATAACTACATCTCAAGAATGCCACCAGAGTTGGTACACAGAAATTTTATTTTATTGCTTTGTTTTCCAAATGCTGTAGTTTAAGTTGTTCAGTGTGTTACAGACCAGAAGGTGAAATGATATTGTCATTCACTACATTCATAAAGGACAGTTTGACCATAAGCCATTTGATATCTTCTTTATACTGTGGCCACTGAATAAAGCATTATACAGTCTTTGGGGTTAATTAATTCAGACAGTTATCTGTTACCCCAGCGCTCACTTGGACAACTTCTTAGCCAGTAAGTGGAGTTATCCATTACTATTTTAAAATAATACAGTTGCCTGAGCCTAAACTGGCAGGGACAAAGTAACTGGGGTTTAAGGGAGGAAGTAGGAAAGATACCACCAATTCTTCTTTGTTATCATTTAAGAAGAAGAACATTTTAATGTCTCTCTGCTGCCTCTACCCTCACCTCCCCTTTGAGCCCCCAGGTAGAACCAACCCTGGCTAATAATCAGCACCGCCAAAGCAAAAGTCCAAAAGTAAGCACAGGAAGTCCTTTTGTACCTGATAAGGTGAATAGTACATGTTGGTGTAGAGAGGTAGTGGTGTGTCTGGCTTCAGGTCTGAAGCCCTCATTAACATAGTGCTGCCAGCAAACCCAAAGCCTTGCAGCAGGCGAGGAGGTGGGAACTGAGGAGAACAAGCTACATAGAGGCTGACTGGGTGCCTCTCTTAATTGGTTTGGATGTCCTGGGATTCTTACCTCTGTCCTCAGGCATTATTTTTGTTGCTTGTTGTTTTTGCTAGGTTGAGGGCAAGAGTAGTGCCTTGATTGCCACGCTTGATGGCAATGTGAGAGTGAACACAGGTTGCTAGCAGTGTTTGCATCAAGTCTGGTGTTGTGTGATCAGCAGGCGTCTGTGTTCACTGCATCCCTTGGCTCTGCCCTATTGTGAGAATGTGTGGAGCTGCCCAGCAGTGTGACACTCTTTTAATGGGTGTTTAAGTATACTTGATGAGAGGCTACAGTTCAGTCTTCTTCCTTCTCAAAATAAACCTTATGTTTTACATTACTACTAATTGCTTCCTGGCTGTCCTTAAAAATGTATTTGAATAATGAAATAGCGTGACCCAAATAGAACAGAGCGGGTGATATGTGATGAAGCAAAGATGCAGGTATTTTGGGGGCAGGAGTTTTGGTCATCTCTGACATTTGTATGCAGACTGACTCCTGTTCTAAAAGAGAGCTTTGTAAGCACATGATGGTTTTTGGTTATTTTTAGATGTTTACTTTTTTAAGAAGTTTATTTATTTTTTATTTTTTTTCCTTTTTGAGACCGGCCGCACCACGCTCAGCCAGTGAGCGCACCGGTCATCCCTATATAGGATCCGAACCCATGGCAGGAGCGCTGCTGCTCCCAGCGCCGCACTCTCCCAAGTACGCCACGGGCTCAGCCCAAGAAGTTTATTTTTTAATAAAAGTTTACTTTGGTAGCAGGGCGCAAAAACACATTTAACGTTTTGGAGTATAGACGAGAGAATTTTTTTCTTTGAATACACATGGAAACGTGTGTGCTTTTAATCATTTTTTTCCCCCCTAAATGGGATCATACTATATATCGCTGTTTTGTTTTTTTTTTTAAGGTGACATTTATTAAGCATCCATTACCTGCTGCTCTTAAAGATACATACATCTTTGAATAAAAGACAAACAGACTTTACAAATTAACCTGCCTAAGGAGGGGTGAGAAATATGGGGTGTGTTTATTGTCTTATTTGTTTGTTTAATGATTTTTTAAGTTATCAGACCATCATGGAAATTTTTCCATTTTAAATATAGACATAAACTGTATTTCTTATGACCCCATGGTAGTCTATCGAGTATGGTTACTGTCACTTAGCTAATTCTCTCTTGATGGACATTTAGGTTGGTTCCAGTTTTTTGATATTGATAACACTGTAATGAATATCTTTGCTCACTTGCTTAGTTATTTCCCTAGGGAATATTTTTAGAATTGAAATTGCTGAATCAAAGAGTGCTCTTAGTTTTTTTTTATTTTTAGATATTAATTTATTTTCAAATTCAATAGTGTTAATTCTTTTCTAGTTTTCAGAGGTCAGACTGATTCAGTCATGGAATAGCTGATGATTGGTGGAATTTAAATTTACAGTTTAGCATGGAGTTAATTATTTTATTAAATTTCAGGAATTTACAAAAAATGTTCTGATTTTAAACTTTATATTTACTCTGAAACATTTCAGACACCCTGAAAAGATAAAACGTGATGTGGTGGTCACTCCTGTACTCACCATCCAGATTTGAGTTCTTCAGTGTTTTGCTATGTTTGCTTCATCTCTTTTTCTAGATAAAGGGATAAAATGTTCCAAAGTTCCATCCTTCCATACTGTTCCTTCCCTCCCTCTCTTGCTCTAGAGGTGACCACTACCCCAGTTATTGTGTATCATTCTCATGCATGTTTTTATACTTTTTCTATATATGTATGTATCTATAACAACTTGTTTCTGTATTTTAAAATTTACATTAATGGTATCATACTGTACCTGATACTTTACAACTTGCTTTTACTTTACATCAACTTGGAGTTTATCCAAGATGTTACATAAGTAGACTTAGTTAATTCATTTTTAACCTGCTTCATATGAGGGAACTTCAAAAAGTTCACGGAAAAATAGAATTAAAAGTGATACCAGTCTTTCCATGAACTTTTTCAAGTACCCTCACAGTATTTCATTACACATAAAAAAAGGTTTTTTGTTTCTGTAGAATATACATCTAGTAGTGAAATTGCTGTTTTAAATTTTTTTCTTATGTTGCAATTATACATATGAAAGTGAGATTTTACAAATTAAAGTGCACTAAATGTGGCTTAACTATAGATTTCTTTTATGATTATATAGTAGCTTTGTATAAAACTAGTTACTCAAGACTTTAAAATAACATTAACGTCAATAGTTAGAGCTAACACATAGTGCCTACTGCGTGTCAGTTTTTCTTCTTTTTCATGTGTTGTTTAGATTATTATAGATCATTTAGTCTGTACGACAACAAGATAAGGAAACTGAAGCACAGAAAGTTTGAGTAGCTTGCCTAAGGTCACTCTGCTAGTAAATGACAGTGCTGAGATTGAACTTCGGTATTTAACCCTATATACACTTGCACATTTAATATATGCTTTTGTTGCTTTTTGTTATAAACTAACAAATACAAAAATTGTCACATTAAGAATGTGAGTTGCTGGGTGGGTGTCAGAATTTAAGTAATATCTACTTAGATGGAGTACCAGGGTTGTTTCTCCCAGTAGAGGCAGATCTTAGTTTACCTTTGGATTTTTTGTTATTTTTAAGCATTGATTGTAAGTCTAGTTAATGGGTAAAGTTTGTATGCAGGTACTACCACCCCTAGAGTTTTTAGAGCCCTCAGGGGCAGCACTATATCATTTTTGTATTTCTGCTTTAGTGTCACATGGAGTTATTTGACCCCAAAATAATACTAGTAGTGCTATAAAACCTGTCATCTGTAACACTTTTTTCACGTAGGGAGACTCTTTACTGTTCCAGCCTGTGATGTCAGGAAAACACCTTCCCCACTTACCAGATCAGCTGTTCCCTTACACTTGCCACTTGGGCAGTTGAAGGACTGGCTTCTCCAGTGACTGAGACTGAGGCCTGAGGCATAGAGTCCCAAAGGACCCGGCTGTGATGGTGAAGCTGGGGTATGGGTCTACACAGACTTTCCTCTAGACAAGCCCTAAGAAATTAGACCACATTACTTTCTTCTTATACTCCCCCGCCTTCTTTTTAACCCAGGAGGCTAGCCTACCTTCTTCCTTTTCCCTTCCCTGGCTCTATGCACCTCCCTCTGAGCTGAGCATGCCTCTCCTTCCTTTCTTTTCCTCCTCTCAGACTCTGGGGAGCATGTGGCTGATGTGTTGGAAGCATCTGGGATACATGTTTTCAGTGCAAATTACTGAGTCCCAACTTAGACCTACTAAGTCAGAATCTCTGGGCAATAATCCAATGTATATGTTTTTAACTTTTTAATATGGAAGGTTACCAACATATCCAAATACAGGGACAATAATGTAATTAACCCTCTTGTACCTGTTGCCTAACTGTATGACCATTAACAGTTCATGAGCCACTGTTATTCAAATATGCCCCACTCCCATCTACCCCTGATGATGTGGAAACAAATCAGATACCATTGTTTTTCTGTAAATAGCTATGTATATTTTTCTTCCAGCTTTTTATTTTTAAAAAGTTTTATATCTAAAGAAAAACTGTAATAGGGAATACCTCTATATCCTTTTCCTAGATTCTTCAGTTTTGCTTTTATCTATCTGTGTGTCTTAGATACTTTTTTTTGTTGCTAAACCATTTAAAAGTAATTTGGAACATCATGACAGTTCACTTCTAAATGCTTTAGCTTGTTTCTCCTAAGAGCAGGGACATTTCTCTCATGTAATGACAATACAGTTATCACATTTCAGAAATTTCCCTAAATGTCCAAATAATTGCCTTTATAGCTTCCTTTTTAGAAGGATCACATTACTTTTGATGTAGAACAGTTCCTCAGTCTTTTTTTAAAAAAATCTTTAATGAGGGGCCGGCCCAGTGGCGCACTGCTACAGTGCTCCGCTTGGGAGCGTGGTGGCGCTCCCGCCGAGGGTTCAGATCCCACATACAGACCGGTTCCTGCTCACTGGCTGAGCGAGGTGTGGGCGCGGCACCGAGGGTTGCGATCCTGTTGCCGGACACGAAAAAGGACAAAAAGGAAAAAAAAAATCTTTAATGATAATGATTATTATTATTATTTTTTTTTTTTTGTGACTGGTATGGGGATCGTAACCCTTGGCTTGGTGTCGCCCACACTGCACTCAGCCAGTGAGCACACCAGCCACCCCTATATCGGATCCGAACCTGCGGCCTCGTTCGGCGCTCCCAGCGCTGCTGCACTCCCAGCGCCGTACTCTCCCGAGTGAGCCATGGGTTCGGCCCGATAATGATAATTTTTAAGAGTCCAGGCCATTTGTTTAACAGACTATTCCTGAATTTGGATTTATCTTATTGCTTTATCATGATTTGATTCAAATGATATATTTTTGCAGAAATGCTGTGTAGGTGATATATTCTTAGGCCATTACACCTATCAGTCTGTTCATTATCCATGCTGTTAAGTTGCCCACCTGGTTAAGGTAGTTTTGCCAGTGTTGCCCATTGTAAAGGCACCTTTATACTTTGTAATTATTTATCCATTGATGATTCTTACCTGAGTCAAATTATTACAATGGTGGTTTGTTTAAAGCAAGATTCATCTGTTCTTTGGGAGAACACCCAGTCTTAGTTTCCTAGGTATTTGGTTCTTAGTACAGGTGTGCGCAGAAATAGGGTAGTAAGAGCCTAGGAATAATATTCATGAACTCAGAGGTAATGGGGAGCAGTTGTGTGTGTTTGGAAGTGGTCATGGAGGGGAACCCTATTTATATGCTTCTGTCACACATTGCTGCAGCCCTGCAATGGGACTGCAAGGGATCATGGAAAAAGAAACATAGAGAAAGTCCCTGGCAGCGAGACTCTGATGGCATGGTGAGTTCCTGTGGCTTTCTGCCTGGAGCTACGCTGTCCAGTTGGCCCCTGTATATACCTGGCTGTATAACTGTCATAATGAGAAAGTCCCTGGCAGCGAGACTCTGATGGCATGGTGAGTTCCTGTGGCTTCCTGCCTGGAGCTACGCTGTCCAGTTGGCCCCTGTATATACCTGGCTGTATAACTGTCATAATAATCTGCAACAAGGGTTGTTTTCACCTTGAATCATGATCAGATTTGCTTCGTTCTCTTTTCCAGTGGGTGAATTTGTAAGTGATGTTCTGCTAGTTCCGGAAAAGTGCCAGTTTTTCCACAAAGAGCGGATGGAGGTTTGTGAGAATCACCAGCACTGGCACACTGTAGTCAAAGAGGTAAGAGGATGGATGGGGAAAAATCAAGTGGTGTATCTGTCAGGGGAGAAAGTAGTGTTTTTTTCTAAACCTCATCATGCTTTTAAGTTAATTTTCTTTATTTTCCTTTTATCTTCTCAAGGTTTACAATTATTCCTGTCCTCTAAATTAAAAAAAATTTGAGAGGGGAATAGATATTTTTGTAGGGAAGTACAGTGTTGACAGTTCAGCTCCTAAAGTTAAGGATATTAAAAAGGGTTGTTGAGCAAGGATACTGTATGCTTTTGGCACAGCTCCCAGGAAGGCTGTCCTAAACCCTAAGGACTGTGAAAACAGCCAATTACAGAAAATCTGGGTCTGGACATATGTACACGGACAGGATTAGATACCATTTTATTCTTTTGCTGGAGAGAAATGCACTTTCTTACTCCTGTCTTTTGTAGTGACGTTGGTTCTTCGTGTGCCTGCTGCACCAGTAATATATTAGCATTGACAACCTTTAACTGGTGTTGATAATTACCAGAAGAAACTTCCTTTTTCTTAATTTTTTCCAAGTTTGTGCTTTCAGTATTTTTGAGCCAGATGGTGTTCACTGTTTTGTAAGTTGAGTAAAATTTATACAGTTTAAAATAATAGCATTACAACTTTTTGACAAAAAATGTATGTGTTTATAAGAGAGCATTACCTAGTGATTTGATAAGAATTTCTTCTGGATAAAACTAGAGATCAGGGAGTATGCGACCAAGTTTCCTTCGGAATGTGTTCTGATGTATTCTCTTGGTTTCTTCAAGGCATGCCTGACTCAGGGAATGACCTTATATAGCTACGGCATGCTGCTACCCTGTGGGGTAGACCTGTTCCATGGCACTGAATATGTGTGCTGCCCTCAGACAAAGATCATTGAATCCACTGTGTCAAAAGAAGAGGAGGAAGAGGAGGAAGAAGAAGAGGAGGAGGATGAAGAGGAAGACTATGATATTTATAAAAGGTAAACTCTTAGCCTGAGTTACAAAATCATTTGCCTTTTGGTTAGCTGTTCTGTGAAAGTGACTATTGGCTGTTAGCTGTTTGCCCCTCACTTCTGGGTAAGGTGGATGTTCCCCTATTATGCTAGAGCTGATTCAGCTTGCATTTCAGCTTAGCCATAGCTGATCACAGGAGCACTTGCGACTTCTGGCTTTATGTTGTTGTGGGCCACATTATTTTCTGCAGGTTAATGCAGTCTGTGTTCACTCTTCCCTTTTGCTGATGTAGCTGGGCTGAGGGTTTTAGTGGCACAGTTAAATGTGAGTTGAGCTTATTTCCTGTCTCTCTTTTTGTGTTTCAGAATAGGAGAGGGAATCGTTGTTTTGCTTTGTGCATAGGAATTGGTATTAACATTCCTTTTTTTTTGTGGCCTTTAGTGAATTTCCTACTGAAGCAGATTTGGAAGACTTCACAGGAGCAGCTGTGGATGAGGAGGATGAGGACGAGGAAGAAGGGGAGGACGTGGTGGAAGACCGCGATTACTATTATGACACCTTTAAAGGAGATGACTACAATGAGGAGAACCCAACTGAACCCAGCAGCGATGGCACTATTTCAGACAAGGAAATTACTCATGATGTTAAAGGTAACCCAGTGTAAAGCTGTGGCTTTAAAATCCTCATGGTAATTATTAACTTAGACCTTTGTGTTGCATTCATTACAGGTAAGTCACAGAAAGAAAGAAAGAAAGATGATATCTCTGCACCGAAGGTGAATTCAGCTCTCGAGCACAGTGGTGGCACAGGACAGGCAGGAAGGCATATTTGGGGAGAGATGCGGGATTGAATTAGAGAAACAGAGTTTGCATTAGAAGGATTTAATTAGAGAACAGGAACCGTAGACTAGAAGAGACAGCACAGCTCACCCTTCAGCTGGATTCTTCCACATTTAGCCTGAAATATTCTCTCTCCAAGAAGAGCTCCCCTCTTCATTACTGCTCAAGTCACAGCCTTTTAGAATGGGGATAACTTTCTCAGTTTTTCTGTTCCTGAGTGTGTCCCAATCTGTAAGCTTCCCTATTTGCAGATGTTTGTAGCTGGAAGGGTGAGATTTAGTGACCTACTGGTAAGATTGGAGTCTGCCATTTTTTCATCTTGCCAATGAATAAAAGAAAAGGTGGTTGTGCTAGTTCCAGAGCCATCTACACACAGCCTCTGTTGGTTGTATGTTTGAAACCAGTTATAGTTGAAACCAAAGATCTGAAGAATTATTTAGGACCCACCTGAGGGAAATTATTTAACCAGTCTAGGGGTTTATGAAGTTTTTCTGTTCCTGAGTGTGTCCCAATCTGTAAGCTTCCCTATTTGCAGATGTTTGTAGTTGGAAGGGTGAGATTTAGTGACCTACTGGTAAGATTGGAATCTGCCATTTTTTCATCTTGCCAATGAATAAAAGAAAAGGTGGTTGTGCTAGTTCCAGAGCCGTCTACACACAGCCTCTGTTGGTTGTATGTTTGAAACCAGTTATAGTTGAAACCAAATATCTGAAGAATTATTTAGGACCCACCTGAGGGAAATTATTTAACCAGTCTAGGGGTTTATGATTCACCTTGGAGAATGTAAAAATGGAAAACACTCATCCTTTCCAGGTGCTTTAGTCTTTACTCCAGGTACTACTACCATAAATAGCCTTTCCACTTGCATTGTCTCCTTGGGTCCTTGAAACCACCAAAATAGACAAACCAGGCAAATATCTCCACTTCACAGATCAGAAATATGAGGCTCACAGAGCTATGAGACAAGGAATCCCTCTATGTCAACCATTTATCAATCTTGACTCCAGACAGTGCAAAAGAAAATTTACTTATTTCAGTTCCTAAACATCTTCATTATGTGGAAGGTGACCACATGCTCACAGTGACTGACCTGACTTGGAGAGTGGGTCAGCCAGGCTCCCCCCACCCTGCCCCACCCCTGGCTGGCCTGTAGTATTTGCAGCATTTGAAGCGACTGCCTCTGTCCTGCTGACACTCTGACCATTTTCACACAGCTGTCTGCTCCCAGGAGGCGATGACGGGGCCCTGCCGGGCCGTGATGCCTCGTTGGTACTTCGACCTCTCCAAGGGAAAGTGCGTGCGCTTTATATATGGCGGCTGCGGCGGCAACAGGAACAATTTTGAGTCTGAGGATTATTGTATGGCTGTGTGTAAAGCGATGAGTAAGTCCCACCTCACGCTGGCCCTGTGCAGCAGCACTGTCCTGTCCAGCGTTCTGTCTCCCCGCCGTCCTTGTGACTGCGTCTGTGTGGTGCTCCCTGCGACTCAGGTGTTTTCTGTCAGCTGCTGCCCTGCTCTCTGTGCTTTCCAGATCTAGGCTTAGCCTTCCTGATGGCGGGCGTGAGCTCAGTTTCCATGTCCTGTGCTCACCGTGTGTCTGGTGGTGGTGGTGGTGGTGATGTGTCCCCTCCCTGGTGCAGGCTCCTGGGCGCTGTGGCAGCCATGCTCTGGGCTGTGTCTAGTGGAAAGGCACCAAAGGGTAAACGGAAGAGTTCTGCACATGCTCTTGTTCTGGGCTTTGTCTCTCGTTGTTGTCCTTGAACTGCCCTGTCGCTGACCCCTCAAATGCATGCCGGATGATGGGACGCCTGATCTCGAAAGGAGTCACAATGGGATATTTTCAGGAGTGCAGAAAATTGAAATGTCTTGCTTTGTGCTCTCTAGGTAGGGAGAGAGCTCTGCAGCCAAGCGGTAGTGACTTGTTTCTCCGATGTTTTATCAACTCTGGGTCATGCAGAGCCTTAGGAAGTGAGGGAGTTTCAGCTGGTATGTTCTTTAGTCACCATGGAAGTTCAACTGAACTTGGATTTATGTTAGACATAGGTAGGAAAAGAGTTTTCCTTTCTCCGTGGTTACCACTTTCCTTTTTAAGACCCTTTTTCTCTTATCTTGCAGTACTAACCCATGTGTTAGGAAAATCCTCAGGCCAGGCAGTTTTCCTTGGTTCCTACTCTGGAATTCATCAGAATAATGAGTTGCTGCTCATTCCTGGTATTTGCTCTAAAGGTTTTTGGCTGTAGCTTCTGATGGATTTTAACTCAAATGCATTCGTGTTCTACCCCCACCAAAGGTTTTTTAAATCTTAATATAATGTGGCATCCTTGTAGTCCTTTCATTCCAGCTCTACAGTGGAAAGGTTAAAAGTGAAATAAAATGAGTCTTCCGGGCAACTTTGGTGAATAAGTTTTGTTTGTTCAGGAAAGACTGAGAGAGAGAAATTACTGTGATACTTACTACTTTGTAAAACTGCTCAAACTAACGATCAACAAAACAGTTTTGGGTTGAACCCTGAGGGATCAGGGATCTTTAAAGATCTCGCTGAATATGGAGATGCCGATCTCTACCTAGAGGATCAGACAGATCATGCTGTAAGACTCAGTGGAATGGCAGGTCAGTAAAATTGCCATGTCCTGTGGCTTAGAGATTTGCTGAGGAGAAGCAGTGAGTTTGTGTACTTGCAGTGCCCCTGGCTGGAGGGCTTGAAGGTCTGGAAGCATCAGGGGTCCAGTAGTAACGCTCGTGTCCCTCTCCGAAGGGGGCTAAGGTGGGCGGATGTGCTGGACTGGCGAGCTGGTCATTTCGCACAGACAAAAGGATGTCTTCAGACCAGGCCTCTAGCCTAGGCACCCCGGGGGGGTGGAGGCAGCTTGTGTTTTGTATGTTCTTCATGCAGCCAGTGGTATGCGCCAACTCATAAGCCTTCACGTGGCAGGGGTGTTGCTGGTGGTGCCACGTTTGTATTGGCGTGGATGGATGTCAGTGCTTGAAATTCTACATCACTGAACTTTTGAGTATTTTGGGGAATGTGGTTTGCTAATATTCTAATTTAGTTAATCTGAAGGTTGGATATTGAGATCCTTTTCAAACTTATGTAGGTAGGACTTAAAAAGGGGCAAATAAAAAAATGCTTATGACAGAAAAACTTTCGAGTAACTGGCTAATTTGTAGTTATATCCATCAATTATACAGTTGTCTTTAATGTATTAAAATTATGCAGTTCTGGAAATTAGGTGAATTTGTTTCTGAATTAAAAATGAGTTGGATTTTGGCATTTGCTGTCCACTTAGCTCAAAAATTATGTAATGATATATGAAGCAAGTTACACATCATGCCTCCCCAGCTTGGGAAATCTTGAGTGAGTTGGGCTAGTAGGTGTTTCCATAGGTATTGCTTGAGAGGGTGGCAGAGTAAACCTGCCATCTTGGTCCTTTCCCTTAGAAGGCTGAGCTCCACTGTGAGATTCTCACTTGCCTAAGGCCAGTAAGAGCTTAAGCCTGACCAGCGCCAGGATTGTCTGTTCCAATGGGCTTATGCTCTGGAGGACTCCTGGAAAGGCCAGTCTAAGTATCATGGATCAGAAAGCCCAAGGTAGCATGTGTCCTTGTCAAATATAGCATCTTAGTTTTACCCTTGTTAGTCCTGTTATTGGGGATGGGGCTAAGAGTCCTTCAGTGATGTTGAAAACTCAAAATTATAGCTAGAGTGGTTTGGACTTTCTCTACCCAGCCTGTATACAAAGAATGTTCAATTGAACCTGTTGCCCAAAGTAAGTTATGACCTAAAGATGGCCAGAAGAGAGGAAGGGGCCTGAGGAATAAGTTTCTTTAAAAATAGAGAAGTTTGTGGAAGTAGCTCTGCAGGTCTGATTTCAGCCCTCATCTCTGTTCAGATGCTGTCAGCGACAAGCAATAAGGCAGCTTGTGTTTAGGTTTTCAGGTTTCAAGCACTGAAGGAAAGGTATAGAAGAAGCCGCCCATCCTTCCTTTTTTCCTGCCCCAAAGTCCTAAGTGGATGCCTCATTGGTGCTGAAGATACCAGGTGGTTGAGCTACTGGTATGTTGCTGTTAGCATGGAGTGACAGGGCTGATGATTTTACAGAAGGAAGCTTGCCCACTGTAATCTAACGAAGTGCAGTCTTGGCAGACAGCAGCAGCCTGCACTGTAGTGTGCTGCAAGACAAATTGAGTCCCTCCTGCAGGTCCTGAGCTTGGTGTTTTTCCTAGAGCACAGTGTGGTTTTAACCAGCGTGCCTGGCCCCCAAAGAGAACTCCCACTGTAATTTTGTTTCAGTTCCCCCGACTCCTCTGCCAACCAATGACGTTGACGTGTATTTCGAGACCTCTGCAGATGATAACGAGCATGCTCGCTTCCAGAAGGCTAAGGAACAGCTGGAAATTCGGCACCGCAACCGAATGGACAGGGTAAACCTTGGCACCTCCCCTATCTTCATGGAGCTTGGCACTGGGTAGCATGGTTTTCATACTTCAAGAAAATGACACCATCTCCCTAGAATGTCATGCCAAATGTGTATAGACAGGTGAGGTACGAGAGTATCAATGGAGCAACCTTCTGGGTAGACTAGTCCTCCTTCCCCATCCCTTATTTGCGTAATGATATAGTTACCTTCCGAATACTTGTGATGGAGACACTCTGCTGAGCACTTCCTGTAACTATTATGAGCTTGTTATTTTTCTTCGTCATCAACTCACTTAAATTTTTTTTTTTTTATTTTAGGGAAGGAAACTTTGTATATCACTGTTATAAATAGAAAGCTAGCATCATTTGCCATGAGATCATGGTAATTGTGAAAATATATTAGTTGAAAACACATATTAATAAATTCTAGCTCCAGAAACTGTTGCCTGCTGAAGGTTCTGAGTCTTGGGATATTTCTTTTCCTTAAAAGAGTTATAAATGTTAGAGCAGCAGGAGCATAAAAGCATAACTTTCTCCTAGACTTACTCAGGATTGAAGAAAATTGAGAAGGGAATGTCTTGCTGGGCCTGAGCTCCACCTGAAATCCTACACATCCCCAGTGTTGGGCATGTACTTTGGGAAATGCTCGTTATTTTATTTTATCCACATCAGTTCTGAGAAGCCGGTATTAACCTCAATTTTTTGGTGAGGAGACTAAGGCAGAGAGGCTTTTAAATAATTTGCACCAGGTTATGTAACAAGGAGGTCATGGAATTGAGCCTCCGTCTGGGGATAGGTGAGGCCTAGAACCTTCTGAAGCCGTAACGACCCTGCGCTCCTAAGGGATCATATGATACAGTTTCCTTTTGCAGTTTCTGACATTAGATTCTGTGCCTGGCAGTATTTTTAGAAAATGCGGGAGTTATTTCAGGGGATTATTCCCTGGTGATAGTGTTTTTGACCTTTGTTCTAGGTAAAGAAGGAGTGGGAAGAGGCCGAGCTTCAAGCCAAGAACCTTCCCAAAACAGAGAGGCAGACCCTCATCCAGGTATGACGCCTGCTCCAAGGGTAGAGCTTGTGGCCTGACCTTTTGAAAATATGGTTGAGCCAAACTCCAGGAAATTAGAATTTGACACCTCTTTTCAGTTGAGGGCCAAAGTTACAAGGAAGTTGTAACTGACCTATTTTTCACCTCTAGTATTGCTCACTTATGGTAGAAGGAAACAACCCCCACCACCACCATTCACACCAGGAAGTAACTGTAGCTCAGCTGCTGTTTGTTAATTCTGCTTTTCTGGCAAAAGTTTTCTGTCATCTTCATTCTTAGGCTGTGACTTATTTCCAACAGTACTGAATTCTTTCCTTTTTTTTTTTTTTCAGACTAATTGAAAAGTGAAAAGGCAGAAAAAACTTTGTTAGAATATAACCTTAAAATCATAGCAGCAAACTATATTTTTGTTCAATAGAAGAGACTGTTGCCAGGAATAGGGAGCAGTTCATAAGACTGATCTGGTTTTGTAAAACTAAGAACATTTTAAATAAATCCGTTATTGTTGAGCTGAAATTTCTTTTCTCATGATGTTAACACTTCATTGGAAGACTTCTGCTATTTTTATCAATCACCTAGAAAATCTTAGAGTTTTATTCCCAACATAAGCCAGTGCATCTTTTGCAGGGAAACTTAGTTCAACAGCCTGAAACTGTACCTGTGAACCTGGCCAGGCACCTCACAGGTGACTTGACCCTTCACAGCTTTCACAGGAATGATTCAGCACAACCTACCACATCACTGGATTATGTTTCAGAACATATCTCCTGTTGGTCAGTGGTTTCAGGGTTTGGAAGTTGGTGCCTTGCTCCAGTGTGGAAAGGACAGTATTCTGTTTCTTGCAGTACACATGGAAAAACCCGGCATTGGGCTCACAGCACTGGTGATTTCCATTACGGAAATACTGAGGAGTCCCTCTGACACTGAGATTTAACTTGCTCTCTTTTGGTAAAGAAGTAATTATCCTGACAGAAACTGGATGAAGGATGCTTTGTGCTTACCCTTGTTTTAGTCTCTGAACCTGTTACTGTCTTGCACAGGCACTGAGCAAAGAGAAGCAGCAGGGTCTGTGGTGGCTTGTGTTAGATTTCCTCAGGTGCCACAGATTATATGTTGTTGCTGCTGTCTTGGTTTAGCACTTCCAGGCTATGGTTAAAGCATTGGAGAAGGAAGCAGCCAGCGAGAAGCAGCAGCTGGTGGAAACGCACCTGGCTCGAGTGGAAGCTATGCTCAATGACCGCCGTCGGATGGCTCTGGAGAACTACGTGGCAGCCCTGCAGTCTGACCCACCCCGGGTGAGTTGTAGTCAGAGCCAAAGTGCTGGTGAATCGTACCCTCAGTGATGCCTGCCCAAAAGTGGCGTGTGTACATGGCACCAGTGTGTGACACAAGGGTCAGTTAAAAAGTACATTTTTATGACAAGTTCTGGCAAAGCTGAAGGTAAGGAAAGATCAAAGGAGGGAAAGGTGTTATGTTCTAGTGTCTACATATATAAGCTGAGCGTTACATTAGTTTATGCCTGTATATACCACCTGTGATATGAAAGTATTTTATACCAGAAAAGCAGACTCTCAGGATATTGGTTGGTGATTATCCAATTCTTGAATTTTGTGTGGTAGCCTTACTTTCAGAGAATGAAAAGATGCCTTCTGTGAATAAGGGATTTTGAACCAGTTCCATTCCTAAATGAGATTATGAAGAAAAGGATAAAGTAATTTGTATTGAAACTCCTATGTGAGTGTTCTAAAACTTTTTTTTTTTTTAAATCCCTTAATTCTAACCTGCCTTGCTTTGGGGAGATGGATTAGTATTGGAAAGAAGAATATTTGTATCTCTTTTTTAAAAAGCCAGTAAAATCTTTTCTCTTTTGGGTGATACAGGAGACTGCCTAGCTTGAATTCAGGTGTCAGAGGTCGAGCCAGGCAAGAGGCCAGATCAGAGGACAATGGGCTAGAGATTCTGGAAAACACTGTTTGTTAAGGAGCCAGCATAAGTTTGGGACTTAGTTTTGGTATTTTACCTGGAAAGATAGTTTTCTGTTACTTGGTAAGCTAAAAAGCTCTTAGAGCCACAGCTTTCATTCTTGTGCCTAGCTGAGCTTTACGTTCTTAAGTGAGTTTTTAAGCTTTTGTTTTCCCGTCTGTTTTCAATTCTCTAGTCTCTGGATATTAAAAAACTGTTTTCTCTCGCAGCCTCATCGCATTCTCCAGGCCTTGCGGCGTTATGTCCGAGCTGAGAACAAAGATCGCCTGCATACCATCCGTCATTACCAGCATGTGTTGGCTGTTGACCCAGAAAAGGCGGCCCAGATGAAATCCCAGGTATACTAGACATGGTAGGAATTGCTGCCCTGAGAGTACTTGCAGTGGGAACACACCGCCTGAACTAATGGTCAGCCAGCACTGCTAGTCGTGCTTGTTATTAGCTCTTAGAAAATGATTTTTGATTTCCAAAGGCATTTGGTACATGAGTTGGTTTTCGCAAAGGTGTTATTTTTATTCTTACTTTTTTATGTTAAGTACTTTGTACTTAAAGTTTCTGAAAGTTTGGAAATTTCTTTCTTTCCTTTCTTTTTTTTAAAAGATGACCGGTAAGGGGATCTTAACCCTTGACTTGGTGTTGTCAGCACCACGCTCGCCCAAGTGAGCCACAGGCCTGCCCTTATATGTCAGTTTATTTCTGATTTAGGGTATCATTAGACTTAATATTTAAAATTCTAGACAACTGTATCAAGCAGGTATTGAAAATTAGTCTCTTTTTCTGTTTTGTGCATTATGGTTTTTGTTTAGACAGACACTTTTACATTCCTGGGTTTTGTCCCATGCTGGGTCCGGCTTTACAGTTGTCTGTGGAAGTTTGTTTCTGGTCTCTGTTTTTAATTTGGCATTGTGCATACATTAACTTGAGTTTTACTTTCTTGTATTTATGGAAAATGAACTTGCCTACAAGACTGATAGCTTCCTTTTAAACAAGGAAGCCTAGTAGCTCGGCCTGTTAGTTTCCTAGAGGGCAGCAATGATAACATCATCACTGATTGTGTTTCTTCCATATTTTAAATACAGTGCTGTCCTGATTGTGAGTGCTAGTATGTGTGGGGTGCACTCACAGCGTGGGTGCTTGCCCAGCATCCCAGAAGCTCTCCCTCCCAGCTGCTGTGTGTATTATAATCTAAGGTAGTTTGCCTAGAGGTCTTAGGAATATTAGGATTAAGTTTTGCTCCATTTATTGAGCAGAAGTTTGTGTGTCACCCTCTACATGCCAAACTCCATACTAGCATCTGATGATACAAAGTTGAATCCCTTGAGTACCCATGAGCAGCTCACGAGCTAGTATAGAATTACATTAATTGTAAAGATGAAGAATAATTGTCCTTAAATATACAGAGTTCACATTATAAGTTGGATGTTTTGGGGAATAAAAGAACTCAGACTCCTACAGAGTGGGAAGAATATGGAAAGGGGTTGGGTCTGGGGACCCCAGGAGGCACCAGCCTGGGCCTGGAGCTCAAGGCCTTGCTTCACACTGGATGGAGTAGGCGGCCAGGCATCCTAGAGGAGCCTCTGGGAAGCCAGGGTGGAAAAATACATGCATCTTGACAGGTTTTTTTCAGGTCTGCTTGATTTTTTAAAAAATGTAATCATTTTCTAACTTTTTGTTGAAAAACTAGATTATTGTGTTGTATTTTACAGAAAAATGGCTTGTTTTGTGTGGTAATCAGTATATTAAATTATATAAGTATAGAATCCCTGCAAATGCGATTCAACCGCTACACCATGTAATGTGGGGAGTAAAGCCCTCCTGTCGTAGAACAACGCAGCTCTCCTGAGTGCTAGTTGCTCTCTGCTCTCAGCCTATAATTCTAGCAAAGGTTGGCCACTGAATTATATTACCCTTTTGCCTGTTCCCTGCTCTGTTATCTAAACACTAGAACAACCTGCAGATATTCAGCCTGTTATAACTTGTGCCGTATTTAATTGCCTGGATATGAGTGATACTCTGCTTTCACCCCTCATATGATAGCTCAAGGAGTCACAGTAAAGATACTGATTTCCAGTGTTCTACCCTATGATTCTTGTCCTCCTTTGGATATAGGAACCATCCTCTCCCAAATGGCTCTGTGACTTGCCTGAGGAAATACAGTGTAACAGTGTCAACATGCTCTGGGACTGTGGGTGGTCCGTTGCAGTTGTGTTTTCCCATCAATCTACTTGATTGACAGAATGGCAAATGTAAAATTAAATTGCTTTCATGCTTGCCTTTAAAGGTCAGAGAGACATCAATCTACAGTAAAAGCATCTTTCCATTTAACTTTTTTTCATTTTGACCCTTAATGGCTTCAAGCCCTCATAATTAATTCATTGACTTAGAGCACCCTCTTTAGGAATAGCTTGGTGATTACAAGTCTAACCAGACAGGGATAAGATAACATTGCTTAGAGTAGCTCGTGTGAGCTACAGCAACATGCCTCCCTTTGTCATTAGGGTGGATGTTAGCCCAAATCACCTTTCAAATCCACCCCAAAAGGCTTTAAAAATAAGCAACTTTTAATGACTTGGGGGGCGGGGCAGGGTGAACAACCTTGGAACTTTTGCATTCAGAAAACGTAGAGAGCTATGGTAGATGTCTTCCTATAACAACCCCTTAAAATCAGGTTTATTTAGGGCCGGCCCGGTGGCGCACTGGATAGTGCGCCGCTTGGGAAGCGCGGCGGCGCTCCCGTCCGAGGGTTCGGATCCCACATACAGACCAGTTCCCGCTCACTGGCTGAGTGAGGCGCGGGAGCAACACCGAGGGTTGCAATCCCGTTGCCGGTCCCCAGTCTGGTCCGGGGGCAACACTGAGGGTTGCGATCCGTTGCCGGACACGGAAAAAGACAAAAAGACAAAAAAAAAAAAAATCAGGTTTATTTATACCTCAGCATGAATTTTGCAAAGAATAGTAGCTCAGTTAAATAGGAATAAACTAGTTCTTTTAGTCACCATAGTTTTGGACAGTTGCTTCATTAAGTAGAATCTATGAAATGGTTGGTTCCCTCTTTCCCCAAATCTACTTTTTATTTATTTATTTTCCTTTTTGTCTTTTTTCGTGACCGGTAACAGGATCGCAACCCTCGTTATCGCGCCCGCACCGCGCTCAACCAGTGAGCGGACCGGTCTCTATATGGGATCCGAACCCTCGGCGGGAGCGCCGCCGCACTCCCAAGCGCCGCACTACACCGAGTGCGCCACCGGGCTGGCCCCCAAATCTACTTTTTAGATAACGGTTTCAGTTTCTTTTTATCTCATCTAATTTGACCGGTGATAAAAATGTAGACTCTTTTCCTCCTTCACTCAGCAAAACCTTCCTGAATGTCTAGCATTGTACAAGTTAGGGTTCTTTTTAACTCAGTACAGTTAGTAGTAAATGTTTCATATGAAAAATCAGTAACTGGCTAGTGAATATTTTTTCATTAAATTTTCTTTTAACTTGGAGCCTTCTCTGTGGATAAATTCTCACATCACCAGCGGTATTATATGCAGTCTGAACACTGTCTTACGATTTAGTGGTCAGTCACCAGGGCATGGGCATTTGACATTTTCTCTGACCGGCTGCTTTGCTGGACTCAGCAGTGAATATACCTTTTGAACTGGTCTTTCTGGAAGTGTGTGGATGTCTCGTCTGTAAGTTCCCTCCTGACCTGGTTGTTTCCAGTGACAAGACCTCTTATCACACTGTGCTTCCAGGTGATGACACATCTCCATGTGATTGAAGAAAGAAGGAACCAAAGCCTCTCTCTGCTCTACAAAGTACCTTATGTAGCCCAAGAAATTCAAGAGGAAATCGGTGGGTATTGACTGTATCAAGCTCAGGTAGGACTTCTTGCCAAGGCTCAGGCATGATAGCCAGGCACGATTAGAGAAATAGGAGCAAGCAAGGCTGATGAAATTGGGCATTAGGGTGCCATGGTTTCACAGGTCTGGAATCCTCTGGAGCTTACCCTGCAAGGTCAAGGAGTAATCAAGGACAGGATGGTATTGGCTGTGAGCCACAGAGCCTTGGATTTCATTGACCTTCACTCTGTTAGTGGAAGAAAATCCAAGGTGTGAAATTGCAAGGAAGTTTCCTGTTACCATTTGCACTCTTAATTGCTGGTGTATTTCAAGGCACCCTATTTTACACAAATTCTCTCCCAGCCTTTATCTTCTTCATTTATTCAACAAATTTTCTTGTGCTGACTGTATGTGACAGGGTAGGTAAGAAGGTACACAAACAGACAATGTCTGCTGGAGTTCATGTGATAGTAGGAGAGAAACAGACAATAAAATATGAAAACAAGTATCAGATGGTGATAAGTGCTATGCAGAGAGTTAATGGTGGAGAATGGATGATGGTCAGGGCTGCTGCCTCTGGGGGACAAGTGACCTGAGATCTGAATGGTAAGAAAGAGCCATCATGCAGAGATCACTAGGGAGAACACCTCATTAACACAGGAAAGAGCTGCTCCAAAGGCCTGTAGGTTAAGTCATGTGTATGTTTCTAGATCACTGTGGCTAGAACATAGTGAGGGGGACTGAGGCAGAGAAGACATCAGGGGCAGATCGAGAAGAGACTTAGTAAAACCAACGCGTATGGATTTTATTCTAGGATAATGGGAAGACATTAGAGGGTTTCAAGCTAGGGAGTGACTAGGCCTGGGTTATGCTTTAGAAAAGAACACGAATTTTTAAAAAATCACCCGGCTGCTGTGTGAAGAGTTGCTCAAAATTGGAAACCAGCCTGGAAGTATTATAAAAATCCAGGAAGGAAAGGATGGTAGCGTGCGCTAAGAGGGTACTAAAGGAGATAAGAGACAGATTGTCCCCACGCACATCTGTGATGGTCTTTAGGATTTGTTCTAGAGGTAGGGTTGAGGGGATGTGCTGAGGGCTGGATGTGTGTGAGGGAGGGAGAATGCTCAGGGTTCATCGGGAGCAGCTAGGCAGGTGATGGTGCAGATGTTTACTGAGGTGGGAAAGAAAGTCAAGAGTTCTCCTTACACACATAGAAATTGCTGTTGGATGTTAAGCAGAGGTCTAAGGGAGGCTGTCAGATGAGGCAGAGTTGGGCAGTAGGTACAGGATATGGGTTTGGGAGTTGTGGCATATGGATGGCATTTAAAACTGGCATTGGGGAAAAGTAGGTCAAAGGGTACAAAGTTGCAGTTATGCAGGATCAGGAAGTCTAAAGGTGGAATGTACAGCATGAGGACCACAGGTAATAACAATATATTGTATTTTACACTGAAAGTTTGATGAGAGAATAGATTTTAAGTGCTTTTACCAAAAAAAAGAAAAAAAAAGTAACCAGGGAAGGTGGCAGGGCTATCAGTTTGCAAGACTGTGTGACTAGTAATCATTTCACTGTGTACATGAGGGACTTCAGAAAGTTCATGGAAAGATTAATATTCTCTTTTAATTCTATTTTTTCACGAACTTTTCTGAGTATCTTCCTGTGTGTGTCAAACCATCACATTGTGCACCTTAAATACAGACAATGAAAGACACACCTGTGGCACTGGAGGAAGTTGCTTAACCCGAGTGTGCAGACGGATGGGGAGGAGTGCCCAGGGTGGAGCCTGGGTCCCCGTGCCGGTCTCTGCGCTGCTGCAGAGTCAGGGCATGTATTTCAGGCAGGAGCCGAGAGGCAGCAGCTGGGTTGTGGGCTAGTGGGATGATCTCGTGCTCTGGAATGACGACAAGTGGCCCTTCTCAGGCTGTCGGTCCTGTGCCTGGACACTCGGTCCTTCCGAAACCTGCTGTCTGTTCCCTCCCGTATGTGTTTCTGTCAGATGAGCTCCTTCAGGAGCAGCGTGCAGACATGGACCAGTTCACCGCCTCCATCTCAGAGACCCCCGTGGACGTCCGGGCGAGCTCTGAGGAGAGCGAGGAGATGCCGCCATTCCACCCTTTCCACCCCTTCTCGTCCACACCTGACAGTGAAGGTGCGTGTGACCCACTGCGCCACCTCCTGGCAGCGTGGGGGAAACAGTCTTAGAAAACTGAAGTTTTTTGAAACCTGGTTGAGTAGGAGAGGTTGGGTTCCTGGTGCAAGTCAGGGGAAGGGAGACTGGATTCATGAAGCACCTACTGTGCACAGGTACCGTGCTGGTGCTTTCAGAGTTGGCTTCAGTATCACGTGAAGTTAGGAATGTTGCTGTGTTATAGATGGATTGCTTCAGGCCCCTGCTCTTCCAGCATATGTGATGCCTCACAGGTGGAAGGCACTTTGCAATTTAAATAGCACCTTGGTCATTTACCATGTCATTATCTTTCCATGACAGTCTTGGGAGGTAGGTGATGGAGGGACTGAGGAGGTGACAGGACTGGCCCAGGGTCACTCTGACGTAAGATGGGGATAGGAAGCTCTGTCCTTTGGTTCTAGTCGGGCATGCTTTCCTCAAGTCCCTTGATGGTTCTCGATGTCTAAAGCTATCTCTAAAAGCTGTGGGTCTGCACCAGAAACAGGCTGCTGAGACTGGTACAAGGAATCAGATGTATTTGCTGCTGTTGCTGCTGATGGTGGTATGATAAAAATGGCCCACAGATATGGAGTCCTTACTAAGTGCCCATGTTAGCTAAGCATTTTACAAGAATGCACTCATTTAATCCTCAGAGTAACCCTCTAAGGTAGGTGCTGTGATTGTCCCCATTTGGGGATTCTGAGGTTTAAAGAGGTTAAGTGACTTGTCCAGGGTCATGTAGCTTGTATGTGGAGAGTCAGGTTGTGAATCAAGCTGATGCAGTGCTGCCATCACCATGGCCTGGTCACAGACCTGTGACTGGGCATGGTGCTGGCACCGAGGCTGAGGAAGGCACCTAATTGAAGGTGGGGGGAGGTGCACATCCAGCTTAGCCTCAGACCTTACCAGAAATGCCTTCCAAGCTAGTTATCGCAGAGGTGTAGATGCAGTGCACTTGACCTTCTGATGTGAAACAGGATGTGAGAAAGTAATGCATAAAGAAAGAAGGACCTCCTGTTCCTCAGACCTGCTCTTCCCAACCCCACACCACCACGGGCTGTAGGAGGCCATGCTCATACGGCTTGTTTGTTTGGGGTCAGGGCATCTTGGACATAGCCGAACTAGGACCTTGTCTCCTTAGTAGCAAACCACAATCAGTGCTAACTTCAATTTCTGTTTTGTAAGAAAAATAATTTTCTGGGCTAAGCTAAATAATTTGGCAATTTCCCAAAATTTCCTTAAAAGAGTCTAAGACAGGCCTACTACTTTTTTCTCTCTCATCAGGATACCTTCCAGTGATTTGCCGTATGTCTTACTGTTGGTTTGTGGGATATCTCGGACGTGGTTTTTAAGGAAGAATAATTTTTGTTTACATTACAGAGAAATTCTAAGATAGGAATTTTGAAAGAAGCCATTTTCTTTCCTAATCTCCTTTTGTGCTATTTTGTTTTTTATTGTTTTCCTTTCTGCTAGACACTCAGCCGGAGTTGTACCACCCAATGAAAAAAGGTTGGTTTGTCAAAGATGTTCCCTTTAAGACCTTCATTCCTTCTCACTTCCCCAGTGTGTTGGAAGTTCCATTTTCTGTTTCATACCATCACCTGGTTTTCCCACCTCATTTCTTCAGATGTGGCTGGAGCAGAGCCAAAGTAGCCTTCCTTTCTGTCGCTAGCAGGCTGACCAGCACTAGAACCCAGCACCAGCTTTAAATGGCCAGCACTAGAATCCAGTTTCAGTGGCTTGGTGATTGTGTGGCCATCCCCAGCTTTCCTTCTGGGATGTCCAGAGAATGCACATTAACCAAAATAGATGCTTTTATAAATCCTTTGTTATCTGGGTAGATGTTAAAAAGTATATCGAGTGTAAACGGTTTGGTCGTGAATTGCTAGTATATATATAAAAATACACTTGGGCCAGCCCCGTGGCTCACTCGAGAGAGTGCGGCGCTGGTAGCGCCAAGGCCACAGGTTCAGATCCTATATAGGGATGGCCGGTGCGTGCGCTCACTGGCTGAGCGCAGTGCGGGCGACACCAAGCCAAGGGTTGAGATCCCCTTACTGGTCAATAAATAAATAAATAAATAAAAATACACTTAATTTACAGTCAGGTGCTGAGTCTTTTTTTTTTAACCTCTTCATTTTTCTCTGCTGTTCCCATACATCTTTTCCCTTTCTCTTTTGCTGTCCTTGCCCTTTGTCTGTACCAGTGTCTCCTGTCCCATGAGTTGTAGCATTCCTCAAACACTAGAAGCAGGTGGATGAAACAGGTGCAGATGAGTGAGCTCTTGCAGTAGTGAGTCTCCAGTTTTCAAAACCAGTTAACAGTGTGTAAAGTGCTGTGTGGAACACTCTGCATCCTTGATCTCATTGAGCCCACTGAACATCCCTGCGGGGTAGGAGTTTTAGCTCTCTTTTATAGATTAGGCAATTGAAGAAGCCTCTGAGAACCCATGGCTGGCTCCAAGTCGTGAATTTAAGAAGTAGAGGAAGTGGAATATGAACCCACGTCTCTGTCCTCAAAGCCCATGTGATTTCTGTGACCTTTGTCGCCAGTGTCAGCTGCTTCGTCTCCCAGGTCTCCAGAGTCATCGTGAACAAGTTAAACATTCCATGTTTTTTTTTTTTTTTTTTTTTTTTTTTTTTTTTTTTTTTTTTTTTT